CAAATGACAAGTGCTGGCGAGGATGTGGAGAAAAGAGAATCCTAGTGCACTGCTGGTGGGAATGCAGACTGTGCAGCCACTGTGGAAACAGTATGGAGTTTCCTCAAACAATTAAATATGGTACTGCCATTCGATCCAATGATGCCACTTCTAGGAATATATCCTAATAAACCCAAAACATCCATCAGAAAGAATGTGATTACTCCTAGGTTCATAGCAGCACAATTTACAATAGCTAAGGTCTGTAAACAGCCCACATGCCCATCAGCAGATGAGTGGATAAAAAGCTGTGGGACATTTACACCATGGAATACCATGCAGTAGTAAAAAAGAAGGATCTCTTACCCTTTGAGACAGCATGGAGGACCTTCAGAGAAAGACAAGTACCACATGATCTCACTCAAATAAATAATAATAAACTAGGAACAAAAAAGATCCAGAGACATGGAAGCATGGAACAGACTGATGAATTTCAGAGGGAAGGAGGGAGGGAAGAGATTATCCAAAAACTTACCTGCATATATGCATAGTCCATTGGTAGACAATAGTGCAGGGAAGACGTGGGGTGGGTGTGGGGTGGAGGTGGTAATCAGGAAAGCAGGCAGGTATAAAAATTTATCTTTATTTATATGTTCAACAATAAAGATAAATTTTTAAAAAGTGAAGGTTAGCATATCTATCTACCTGAAAAGGTTGGTATAAGACCAATTAAAAAAAATGCTAATGCTGTTGGTCTAATTAGCACATAATGTAGAGACATCTCTACCTGCATATGCTATTACATTAACACATACACTTCCACACTCAACAAAACACATTCTCTGGGAAATCTGCAGGAATCAACATGCCACAAGCCAAGCCCAAGCTGTTTGTTTTAGTCTTTTCCCATCCCTCCTTCTCTTTCTCCTTCTTCAATAAGATTTGTTATGCAACAAGGTTCACTATGTAGCTGATTGACTTAAGAGCCCAAGGACTTTTCCAGTGTTCATTGACGTAAAGGGAAAGTCTGGCCTATTCATCAATCGGGCTCCTCTAGTCTCTGTCAGCGATTTTCAACCTTTTTCATTTCATGGCACACATAAGCTAATTACTAAGATTCCGTGGCACACAAAAAATAGATTATATTTTTTGCCAACCTGGACAAAAAGTAAAATAAAATAAAAATAGGTACAATTTAGATTCATTACACCGGACGGCTATGCTGTGCTGGCTGCTGTCATGTTTTTATTTGATAATCTAAGGGAAGAGCGTTCAGTGCCCTGACTGAATGGTCAGGTGCTGCGTGATTTACCTTTAAATAAATCTTTATTGTTCAGATTATTACAGTTGTTCCTCTTTTTCCCCCCTATAGCTCCCCTCCACCAGGTTCCCACCCCATCCTCTGCCTTTAACCTCCCTCTCCCCCCGCACTGTCCTTATCTATAGATGTACGATTTTGGTCCAGTCTCTTCCCAACCCCCACCCCCACCCCTTTCCCCCAAGGATGATCACTCCACTACCTTTCTATGCCCGATTCTATTATATTTGCCAGTTTATTCTGTTCATCAGATTTTTTATTCACTTGATTTTTAGATTCACTTGTTGATAGACTAGAGGCCCTGTGCACAAAATTTGTGCACGGGGGCTGGTGGGTTGTCCCTCAGCTCAGCCTGCACTCTCTCCAATCTGGGACCCCTTGAGGGATGTCCCAATCATGGTGGGACCGGGCCTAAACCGGCAGGTGGACATCCCTCTCACAATCCAGGACTGCTGGCTCCCAACTGCTTGCCTACCTGCCTGCCTTCCTGATTGCCCCTAACCGCTTCTGCCTGCCAGCCTGATCACCCACTAACCACTCCCCTGCCAGCCTGATTGCCCCTAAATGCCCTCCCCTGCAAGCCTGGTCACCCCTAACTGCCCTCCCCTGCAGAGTTGATCACCCACAACTGCTCTCCCTTCCAGGCCTAGTCTCTCCCAACTGCCCTCCCTTGCTGACCATCTTGTGGTGGCCATCTTGTGTCCACATGGGGGCAGCCATCTTTGACCCCTTGGGGGCAGCCATCTTGTGTGTTGGAGTGATGGTCAATTTGCATATTATTCTTATTAAATAGGATTTGTTATTATTCAGGTATGACAAGGGCAAGAGATCAGGACACAACTGCCATTGAAAAGATAATTTCTCACACAAAGTTCCCAAGGGGAGGGCACTCCATGTCACTGGGACCACAGTGGGGAGCCCCGGGGTCAGTCAGGAGGGGAGAGCCTTCAGTGTCCCTTCCTGGGAAGGAAGGGTTTACGATGGACACATTGGAATGACTCCTGCCGGCCTGGGTGTCCAGCAGCGGGCTCGGGTGGTTAGGGCAGAAGGTGGGAACGCATAGGGTGCCGGGCTGTGCATGCCGGGGTTGGTTTGGCGTGACAGGTGCAGAGCTGATTGTATCCCTAGGAGTGGCCAGCTCCGGGCAGGCAGTCCCTTCAGTGCCAGCAAGGCCCCCAAGATGCAGTGTCAAGGACACAGAACAGAAAGGCCAGGTGAACCCAGGCGACCTCTGTGTATAAAGCAAGCGTGAGCTGAGTGTGACCTGCAGCCTGCAGGGCTGCTCGGCTCCCCGGGCAGCTGCCCACAGTGCTGGCGGCCTCCTTCCCGAGGACACGATGCAGCAGTCCGGCTGGGAGCAGGGAAGCCAGAGCCGGAGGCCGGGAGGAGGCCCGATGGAGGAGGGCAGGGAGGAGGCTGCACGGAGCTGGGCAGGGGGGCAGCCTGAGGGCGGGAGCAGAGCTGGCCTGGCTTTCCCTGGGGCAGAGCCTGGCCGGGAGCTCCGTTGGTGAGAGCGGGTCCGGATGCACCAAGGTTGTGGGTTTGGCTCCGGGAAGTCACAAACAAGAAGCAGCAGCGAGTGCGCAAATAAGTGGAACCACATGTCGATGTTTCTCTCTAATAAATAAAGAAACGTGGTTTTTTTTTGGTTTTTTTTTTAAAAAGGAGTAAGGATTGTCTTCTACAGAGCAGAGAGTATTTGCGGCAAGGTGGTGGCAGTGGCCAGCCAATAAGAATTCCAGCCAGAGGACGGCAGCGGGGGAGACGGCTCTGGGAAGGCACAGAGAAGGTGACGAGGCCTCCGCGTGGAGCCGCAGGGTCACCGGGAGGCTCGCTGGGCGCTGCCACGTCCGGCCCTGGCCGTGGCGCGTGGTAACCGGCGGGTTAATGAGGTGCCTTCCGGGCACAGGCCGCCCCGGAGGACGGGCTGCACCAGGCGGTGCCCTTTGGGTTCGAAGGCTCGAGTCACTGTTTTCTAACCTCACGGCGTTTTCTGGCGTTAAAACCCAGAAATCAGCAGGCTTTCGGGGGGAGGGGGAGCCCCTCGGGGAGGCCGAGGGACACCTCACTGCTCCGGTCGGTGAAGTGTAACCAAGTACAGGAGCTGACAGTTAACAAGTAACCGAGTAAACAGAGGGCAGCACGGGCGTCAGCTGCCGGTCGGCCGTCCCAGGCTGCGGCTGGCCGTGGCATGTGGGGTGCCAGGCAAGGGCACCCGCTGCCCAGCAGGCTCCTCTTGGGGGTTGGAAGGTGAGCAGGGGCTCGCGATGACCCTGCTCCCCTTGTCCTCCGGGTCCCCCACCAGGACTTGGTAGCTTTGGGGCCCTCCTCATGGTGAGTCCCGGCCCCTGCCAGGCGGCGGGAGACCCTCTGCCCTAGCTCAGGGCCTCGGCGCGGAGGCGGAGGATGGAGAGCGCCTGTGATGGCCCCGGAGGAAGCTGTGGAGGCTGCCCCGCAGTCTGGGCAGAGAGGCCGCTTTTAGGCTGCGGCCTCCACAGGCTCTGCAGTGGCTGCTCCCCCGCCAGGCCTCGGAGGCCCGGGCTGCACAGCGGGGCCCGGGGAGACGCACGTCCTCACGCGACAGTCCCTGGAGCGATGGCGACAGGAGGCACCACTGCCGGCCTCCGCCCTCCCGCTGACAGGGACCCCGAGGCTCAGTCACCTTCGGCAGAGGAAGCCAAACAGCTGCGCGCCTGCCCGGCCCTGGAGGGGCGCGGGGCCTAGTGCCTCGCTGTTCTCTGCCGCCTTCTGTGCCGTGTGCCGGCAATGCCAGGGGCAGTGCCGTCCTCTCGTCCCCCTCGGTTGGTGGTAAAGGCACCGCTTAGTGCCCAGGCTGTAGAATATCCCACTAGGAGCTCGGCAGAGGAGGAAGAACACATCGCCAGGAGCCCGGTGCCCAAACTGGGAACGTTTTGTGGAGGAGGCCCAGTGGTGTGGGCGGCACGCCGGCGGAGCCGCAGGAGGGCGTGGCGAGCATCTCCTGTCTGGTTCCTCCTCCGTGCAGCTCCCGGCTGGGCGCTCTGGGGACAGGAGCCTCGCACGCGACCCCCCCCCTCCCAGGTCAGCTGTCCTGCCTGCACGTTCCGGGCCCCTCACTCACTCACTCCTCCTCTCCTGGGGCAGCCTGAGCCCAGCGAGGGGGGTTGGGCGCTCCCCGGTTTGGGCTGCTGCTTGTCCTGGGGGCACACCCACCCTGGTGGACGGGAAGAGATGGAGACCAGGGGCGGAAGGAACCTTGCAGGCGGCCCAGGGACAGCTTCACTGAGCAGAACAGATGCGAGAGCAGGGGGCTGGCTGCTCAGGCCGGGCACCGGGCTCCCAGTGCTGCTGCCCAAAGGGGAGGGGGCAGAGGGAGGGCGAGGGGTCTCTGCCAGGGTCCCAGACCCAGCCCCCACCCCAGGCTCCCGCCTGACCCTCCCTCCGCAGGGCAGGGTTCGTGAGCAGCCCCCCTGGATGTGGTCTGGGCTCTGCGGCCGGCTCTCTGTCTCCATTTCTTCTTCTATGAAAGGGGAGCCGTCTGGGCACGGTCACCTCGGCCTGTAAGGCTCCCAAGTCCCCCTCCCCAGGCCCAGCACGCCCTGCCCTGCCCCAGCTCCCCCTCGAGGTCTCGCCGCTGACCTGGGGGAGAGCAGACACAGGCACCCACAGCGCCAGCCCTGGTGACTCCGGGCGGCCAGGGCGCTGGGCTTTCCCTTGTGGGGCCAGGGCCAGGGCCCAAGGGTCGCCGAGGAGGCGAGGCTTGTCCCACGCTGGTCTTCAAGGCAGCCCTCCTCCCTCTCCTTACTCATTAGCCAGCTGCCAGGTGACCTGGCCGCGGGTCCAGGCCGGGCGGGGGGTGCTCAGGCGCGTGCTCAGGCGTGCGGGGAGCCCGGCCGGCAGCCAGGGCCCGGGATGGACAGCCTCCGGGACGCAGGGCCCCGGCAGCGCGGGGGCTGCTGCCCTGCCCCCTGCCAGCTGGTCCCCGTCGGCTTCAGGGCTGAGGCGTGGCGGCTCTTGGTCCTGTCCGGACCCCTGGTAAGGAGGTGGCAGTGCGGGCCGGGGGGCTGGGGCCGGCTGCTCCGGCATGATCTGGGGGTGCCAGGGGCTGCGGCCCAGCGTGGCGGACAGCAGACGGCTGTCCCCGATGGTGCCGGGGGGAGAGGAGGGCCTGTCCTTCAGAAACCACAGGCTGGTGGGGCGGGGCGGTCTCCTAGGGACAGTGAGAGCCTCTGAGGCAGGAGCCACAGGCCTCCCCTCGTGTGCGGGGGGAAGAGGGAGCCCGCTGCCCTTTTTATGTATGTATGTGTGCATGTATGTGTGCATGCATGTATGTGTTTGTGTACTTTATTGATTTCAGAAAGAAAGGGAGAGGGAGAGGGAGAGGGAGAGGGAGAGGGAGAGGGAGAGGGAGAGGGAGAGGGAGAGGGAGAGGGAGAGGGAGAGGGAGAGGGAGAGGGAGAGAGAGAGAGAAATAGGAGAATCACTGATTGGCTGCCTCCTGCACGCCCACTACCAGGGATGGAGCCCAGCGCCCAGGCCTGTGCCCTGACCAGGAATTGAACCGGAACCTCTTGGTTCAGCCACAGGGCCACACTGGCCAGGCCCTGCCCTTTTTACTGACAAGGGAAAATGTCTTCGGATACATTATTTTTTTCTGATTACAAAAGCTAATTGGTGTGTGTTCCTTGTAAAAGTTTCAGACAAAGCAAAAAGTTATAAAGAAGAAAGAAATTCATCTCCAGTCCCACTACCTGGACATTTTTTTTTTTTTTTATCCTCACCCAGGGGTATTTTTTCCATGGATTTTCAGAAAGAGTGGGAAGGAGGGGCTAAGGGGAGAGAAAGATGGATGTGACAGAGACACATTAATTGCTTACCTCCCACACGCACCATGACTAGGCTGGGGATCGAACTTACAAACCAGGTACATGCCCTTGACTGGAATCGAACCCCCAACCCTTTGGTGAGCAAGCAGACTCTCTAACCACTGAGCACACTGGCTAGGGCCATTGCTAAGATTTTGCTGGGCTTCATTCCTCCTCCTTTTGTTTATATGTGGCCTGGCCTGTGGTTCCATGACATGGGTAGCAGCGGTGAAGGCTTGTGTTAGTCTCGGGCTCCTGCCCGGGGTCTCATTCCTGCCCGTTTAGGCAATAAGACCACAGCCGGGTCCACACAGCCATGGGAGCGCGCTGTCTCCTCTCCGGCCTGGCCGCTGGGCCAGCTCAGGGCACAGCTCCCTGGCCGCTGGGCCAGCTCAGGGCCCCTGGGCCCCGGTGAGTGCGGGCTGTGACCCAGGCTGCCTGTCCAGCTCCTGTTCCAGATGCTGTCCTTCATGATCTATGTGGTGAGCTCGGTGTTCTGCGGGCACCTGGGCAAAGTGGAGCTGGCGTCCGTGACCCTCTCCGTGGCCGTAAGTGCAGCAGGGCTGGAGGGGCACTCCCCCACCCCCAGGGCTTCCTGGAGAAGACCCAGCACAGGGCTGACAGCTGCATCCAGCTGGGACTGGCCCTCACAGATGGCACACAGTCTGCGGGCGGCCGCCCAGAGGGGGTCTCAGCTGCTGCTGGTGGCCTTGCCCCGGATGCAGCCCCTCTGAGGGCAGCGCCCTCCGTGGGCAGCTCCTGACGGCCTGCTTCCTCCTCTCGGCATCAGTTCGTCAATGTGTGCGGCGTGTCCGTGGGCCTCGGCGTGTCCTCCGCGTGTGACACCTTGATGTCCCAGGTAGGCGGGCCTCCTGCAGCCCGGCGGGCAGCGCGGTCCCTCCATGCTGCCCAAAGCGGGTGGGGGCCCCCAAAGGAGGAAGGGGTGGAGAGGTTCCCTGCCCGCGTGTCACATTTTGAGGGCGCACAGATAGGACCCCTGCCCGGGGGGCCCGAGTTCTGGGCTTCCGGTGGGCCTGGGGACCTGGGTTGGGCCCTGGCTGCCATTGGAGGTGACTTGGCGAATGCTGTCCAGGCTCCAGCCTCAGCCTTTCTCTGGGCTGGGGAAGGACTGGGGCGCGGGAGGGAAAGTGGGGGACCGGGTGGTGCTGGGCGAACAGCTCTGAAGACGCTGGGAGCCCCTGGCTGGCAGCTGCTGCCTGTGCTGGCCGAGCAGGAGGGCCGCGGGGGTCCCCGGGGGTCCGGGCCGGAGCGCTGAGGGCGGCTGTGTTGCAGAGCTTCGGCAGCCCCAACAAGAAGCACGTGGGGGTCATCCTGCAGCGGGGCACGCTCATCCTGCTGCTCTGCTGCTTCCCCTGCTGGGCGCTCTTCCTCAACACCCAGCACATCCTGCTGCTGCTCCGGCAGGACCCCGCCGTGTCCAGGTGAGGCCCCTGGTAGGACCCCCGTGTCCAGGTGAGGCCCCCCGGGTAGGACCCCCGTGTCCAGGTGATCCCTCGGGCAGGGCGCCGTGTCCAGGTGAGGCCCCCCCCCCTCGGGAAGGGCCCCCGTGTCCAGTGAGGCCCCCGGGCAGGGCCCCGTGTCCAGGTGAGGCCCCCGGGCAGGGGACCCCAAAGGAGCCCCCGCCCGCTCCTCCCAGGTGCCGCGCTTTGGGGATCAGAAACAGCCACAGTGCGCCTTGGGGGAGGTCCAGGCTAGGTTTGGGGATTCTTCCGCACAGCATGCTGCTCTGCCTGCGGCCAGCAGGGGGCAGACAAGCGGCCAGTTTTAATTCAGGAGGAAAGAGGCCAAGGAGGGATCTGCGTGTTATTTGCATTTGTGTCCCAGCACCAGTTGGAACATGACAGAAACAAGTGTGGCCCTAGCCGGTTTGGCTCAGTGGATAGAGCGCTGGCCTGTGGACCTGGGTTCTACTCTGCTCAGGGCCCGTGTCGAGGCAGCCAATCAATGTGCTCCTCTCCCATAGATTTTCCCCCCTCTCTAAAAATCAGTGGAGAAATGTCCTCGGTGAGAATTAAAAAAAAAAAGAAAGAAAGAAAGAAGGAAAGAAATGCACTGTGCACTACCCACTGTCCCAAAAAGGAGAAATAGGACTGAACTGATTTCTGATAGATTGCACGGTTATTATTAATTTTGGAAACGCCCCCATAGGACCTCCTTGTTCACTGTACATGATGTGCGCTCATTGGCTAGCTCTTGGCAGGAGGGCGTTTTACCCCCTAAAGCCGCGCGCACTCGGAAGGCCATGCCTGTGCGGAGGCCCTGTGGCCGGTCCTCGGGCCTCCTGGGGCACGTGGCGGCACCCCCACTGGTCTTGGCGGCTCCTGCAGGGCCCGGAGAGCCGCTCAGCAAACCGGGTCCCCAGGGAGCCGCGCTGGGAGGCCGCTGCCAGGCTGGCGCTCGGTTCTCTTGCAGGCTGACCCACGAGTACGTGCTGATCTTCATGCCCGCGCTCCCGGTAAGGCTGGGCCCGGGCGGAGGCTTCCCCTCCCGAATGGGGCTTTCCCCCTTTCCTCCCCACCTGCTGGGAGGCACCCCCGGCAGTCCTTTCTGGTCCGTGCAGATTGAACTTGTAAAAATAACAGAACGTGCCTTTTCTGATCAAAAAACCATTTATTGTAGAAGCCTGGGGGGAAGGAAAATTTCAAATCACCTGTAACCCTACCACCCAGAGAGAACTAGGTTCTCTTTCCAGGATTATTTCTACTCACACATGCGTGGTTTCAAACACACATACACATATGCAGTTTGAAATGAGGCCAATGTGGTATATTGTATCATAACCTGCTCCTTCCCTTTCAAATATGTCGTTAGTACCTTTATATGATTAAACCCATTTAAAAGGCCACATAGTACCTCATTGTGCCGCAATGTTTTAACCGATCCTACACGTTAGGTATTTGGGTTGTTCCCTACAGTCATTATTATAAACTAGTAGCCCTGTGCACAAATCCATGCGCCAAAAGCTCGCCAGTAGCTGCTGCTGCCCCCCTTCCTAACTTGCTGCCCTGCCCACTCCTGTAGCTCTCTGCCAACCATTTGTAGCTCACTGCCCACCCCCTCCTGCTGATCCGTGATCCAGTTGTTAAGCAGTCAGTCATTACACTTCACCGTGTAACGACCATTTGCATATTATATCTTTACAGTGCACAAAATTTGTGCATGGGGTTGTGTGTCCCTCAGTACAGCCTGCACCCTCAAGGAATGTCTAACAACCCTTTCACAATCCAGGACTGCTGGCTCCCAACTGCTCGCCTACCTGCCTTCCTGATTGCCCCTAACCGCTTCTGCCTGCCAGCCTGATCACCCCCTAACCACTCCCCTGCCAGCCTGATTGATGCCCAACTACTCCCCTGCCAGCCTGTTTGTCCCTTACTGCCCTCCCCTGCAGGCCTGGTCACCCCTAACTGCCCTCCCCTGAAGGTCTGGTCACCCCTAATTGCCCTCCCCTGCAGGTCTGGTCCCTCCTAACTGCCTCCCCTGCTAGCCATCTTGTGGCGGCCATCTTGTGTCCACATGGGGGCAGCCATCTTTGACCACATGGGGGCAGCCATGTTGTGTGTTGGAGTGATGGTCAATCTGCATATTACTATTTTCTGAGTTAGGATTGCCTTCTTTCCTCTCATGAACTTACTGAGAGCTCAATGAGCAGCGTGTCCACTGGGCCAATTCCCTCGACTGCTCTGCCATCCACGGCCACGCTCAAGGGATTGAAGCTCAGAGACACATGTCATTCCCTGGCAGGCAGGGTTGGCCTTGCCAGCTCGAGTTGCCTTCCTGTCTCTCAAACCCACTTACCCTCCATGGCACCAGGGGGCGATGTTCTTGAGGAGAAAGCTGGGAAGGAAGGGGCCGCCCAGGCCTGGCAGGGCAGACCGGCCACCCACGCTGAAAAGCCAGTGCACGACCTGGCCGGCCCGCCCGCGCCGGATTGCTTTGTGTCGTGGGAACACGTGGAAGGGCTGTTTCTCCTCCACGTCTTCCCCAGAACCAGGCTTTGCTCTTCAGTCCGGGAGGGTGGGTATTTGTCCAACAGGGCCACGTGCCCGCGCAGGGGGAAGCACCCTACAAAGCTCCCCGGGGGGAACTCCTGTGTTAAGTAAACAAGTCCCTCCCATGGGGTGCAGCTGCAAACTTTAATGAACAACAATAAGACTTACATAATGCTCACCTGGCATTGGAATGCTTACAGATGCCAGTGCGGTTGTGTAATCACTTTGCTTACGTGTGTGTGTGTGTGTGTGTGTGTGTGTGTGTAATAGGTGCACATAACATCCCGGGGAGACAGGGAGGCAGAATCACACGGTATAAGTGTGGGGCAGAGCCAGTCTTTGAACACGGGCAGTGCGCTCCGGCTCCATACTCCTGACACTGCGCCGCCTTCAACAGGAGAGGCTAAGGGAGGGATGGGCACATGGCACAGGCCTGGGCCAGGCTGACAGAGGACAGAGAGAGCACAGAGTGCCCCAACACACACACACACACACACACACACACACACACACACATGCATGCACACATACGTACACACATACGCGCACACGCACCCCCCAGATCCGTGTGCTCCACAGGGAAAGAAAGCTCCCTCCCGGGGATCTGCGTACACCTACACCCCCCAGACCCTCCTCATGGGCCTTGAACCTGCTCAGAGAGGCTGCTGGTGCGGCCGCCTTGCTCAGCTGCCCCCGCCCCCTCCCATGGCTGTCTCCAGTGCCCAGAGCCTGCGCCAGGCGCTCACACCTGTGGATCAGGATCTGGTGTGTCCTGAATCAGGCACGGGGCAGCCTTCCTGAGCGGGTGGGAGGCCTGGGGTGGCTGCCAGCACCCGCAGCCCTCGGCCTTGGCAGCAGCCCGCCATTCCCTGCCTCTCCCCGGGCGGGGCGCAGCGCACCAGGTGAAGCCTGCCTGTGGTCCCTCGGAACTTTGGTGGAGTAATTGCCGCAAACTCAGATCCCTGAGAAGTCCCTGTTCATGTCCGTCTGGTCATGCTTTGGTAGTTGTTTACCTGTGGTGTGTTTTATTTTGTGCAGGTGATTTTTCTTTACAACCTGCTGGCAAAATACTTGCAAAATCAGGTACCAGTCCCCGGAGGGTGGCTAGCGCACTGTCCGGGCCCGGGGCAGGGCTTTCCCCGTCTCCGTGTCCGAGTCTGAGCCTGGGCACCCTGACCTCGGGCACAGGGCCCGAGGGGAGCCCGTGCCTCCAGCCTCTCCGCACCCCCCGATGTGCCCACACCCTGGTCCTGCCCAGCCCATCGCAAGGCCAGGCCAGTTTTCGTTTATTTCAGGGGATCGTCTGGCCCCAAGTCCTCAGCGGCCTCGTGGGCAACGGCATCAACGCCCTGGCCAACTACGTGCTGGTGTCGGTGCTGAGCCTGGGGGTCAGGTGAGGCCGAGGGGCTTCGGGGGCCTGTCGGGGACATGCGCACCTAGTGCCCACCCTCCCCTGGGGCAGGCCAGTGTCATCCTTGCTTCACCCACGACGAAGGCTGTGGAGGCCGCTCTCACCGCCCAGAAGGGGGAGGTCATGTGGAATTTGGTGGGGACGCCCCTCCAAAGAGACACGGCGAGAGGGGTCCCGGGGCCTGAGGGAGCCCTGCCTGCCTCGGCCTGCGGCCTCAGCCCAGCCCCCGCCTCCCTGCAGGGGCTCTGCCTTCGCCAACACCCTCTCCCAGTTCGCGCAGACCGTCTTCCTGCTGCTCCACATCACGCTGAGGAGGCTGCACCGGGACACGTGGGCAGGTGGGCGGCCCCGCGACCCGGGCGCCCCCTGGGCGGGCAGAGGCCGCCTGGAGCCCCAGTGAGGAGGCCCCCCACCCCGACCTGCTTCTGGTCCCCTCAGGGCCTTGCTCTCCTCCTCAGGACTCCCCCCTCGAAGTCCTGGGGTCCCTTCACCCCATGCGCCCCGGGGCGGAGCCCGCAGGAGTCAGGCTTGAGAGCCCTCCGCTGGCCCCTGGACCTCAGGAGTGGCAGTAACAACAGGCAAACCCTGGTGTCACCAGCGGCCGGCTCTCCTGGCCCAGCTAACGGCACACCCACTATTCCCACTCCCCTCGGGGAAACTGAGCGGCTAAGCGACTCCCCAAATGCCAAAGATGGTACATGTGGGGGCTGGACTCGAACCCAGGCCTGTCCACTCCCAGGCTCAGATTCCAGCCTTTCTGCCTCCTGAGGGCTGACGGCCTGTGGCTCCGCCTCCAGGCATTTCAGGCACCACGCAGGCCGCCTCCTCCAGGCCAGGCGCCCCCGCCCCCACGTCTGCCTGCCATGGGCTCGTCCTCTGGCCTCAGTGTGCCGCCTCCGTGACCCTCCCGGGAAGCAGAGCAAAGACAGGACGCGGCTCTCCAATGAGCAGACAGAGCCCAGGAGGGCAGGCGCTTGCCCTAGATCCTGTGGTGTCCCGGCTGGAGCGGCCCCCGCCCGCACCCGGGGCTCCCGCCGCCCCTGACCCCCAGCTGCTCCGTGGCCCTGGCCAGGCAGAGGATGCCCTGTCCCCACGCCCTTTTCCAAGCCCCCCCAGCACTGGGCCAGGGCCTGCCCTGGGTACAATGCCTCTTGGGCCTGGCAGGGGGCACAGCGGCTGCTGCTCAGCTCAGGCCTCTGCTCCTAGGCTGGTCCGTGCAGTGCCTGCAGGACTGGGGCCCCTTCTTCTCCCTGGCCCTGCCCAGCATGCTCATGATCTGCATCGAGTGGTGGGCCTATGAGATCGGCAGCTTCCTCATGGGTATGTGGAAGGGCGGGGTGGGGGTGGGGGTGGGGGTAGGGGCGGGGGTGGGGGGCCCCGTGGGCGGCTCACCCAGCTCAGGAGCCCCTTCCTGTAGTTGGCCAGTTGCCAACTGGGGGCACTGTCTCCCCTCAGTCTGAGCTCCCAGGGGCAGGCCTGGGCCTTCTGTGGTGAATGCCAGCACTGCCCTGGCACCAGTGGGTACCCAGTGCGGGGGAAGTCCCCGAGCGAGTGGGAGGTGGAGCGGACGGTGCCGAGTGTGCATGGGCCTGGCCGGTGTGGGCTCCACCTGAGCACTCAGCACGGAGTCCACGCTGCCTGAGAACCAGACTGCCCCTGGCCCCGGAGACTGCCAGTCCGCCCTGCCCCCCGGACAGACGGGAAGGCCAGGCCCAGGACAGACGGCTGACCAGAGCCGATCCCGCACAGCGGCCCCCTGGGTTTCCCGGCCTGGCCCAGTGCTCTTTCCACACCAGCCACGTGCTTCGGTTCAACTGGAAAGCCAAGCCTCCCGGGAACGGCCTGCAGAAGACGCCGAGGCTGGGCAGGCTCCCGGGAGGCTGGAGGCCCAGCAGGACGAGTTTGGTTGTGAATTTGCCCTTCAAAACCCTTTACCCCAAAGCAGAGGTGCCCGTCCGCTGAGGGCCTCGGGGCTGGCCCAGGCCTGCTCACCCCTCTTCCCCTGACAGGCCTGCTCACCCCTCCCCACCCCCCACAGGCCTGCTCACCCTTCCCCCCCCACACAGGCCTGCTCACCACCCCCCCAGGCCTGCTCACCCCTCCCCACCCCCCCACAGGCCTGCTCACCCTTCCCCCCCACACACAGGCCTGCTCACCCCCCCCCAGGCCTGCTCACCCCTCCCCACCCCCCCACAGGCCTGCTCCCCCCCCCCCCAGGCCTGCTCACCCCTCCCCACCCCCCCACAGGCCTGCTCACCCCTCTTCCCCCCCACAGGCCTGCTCACCCCCTCCCTTCCCTGCAGGCCTGCTGAGCATGGTGGACCTCTCTGCCCAGGCTGTCATCTACGAGGTGGCCACAGTCACCTACATGGTGAGTGCCCCCGCCGACCAGCACCCCTGTTGCTCCTGGCGTCACAGGAGGGAGCGGACTGTCACTCTGTCCCAAGGTGCCCCCCACCTCAGGGCTCCCCATGCCCCTCAGGTCCAGGCCCTGCCAGACTCACTCAGACAACTGGCAGTCACCCCGGGGCCAGTACTGAACTCAGTGGTGTTAGAAGAATCCTTTTCTAATGAACACCATTTTAAAATCAGGAGGTTTTACCCCATAACCTGGATTTCTGCATTTTCTTGAAAAAAAATGGGACCTTCTATTTGGCCTTGGGCCTGTATTCCTGCACCCCTCAGAGAGAACTGGGGGACAGGGTCCCTGGGGTTCCTCTTCTCCCACCTTTCTCTGGAGACATGGGGTCCGTGTCCTCAGGTGCGAACCCCCAGCCTCCGGGATGCAGGCTCGGCCCCCGGCTCAGCAGAGGGTCATGAACCCAACTTACAAACTCATTGTGAGGTGACCCTTGTCTTCACAGACGCTTTTACTGAAACATTTTCCTCCAGGGAGCTTTCCTGGCAACTCAGGGCCTTTTAAACATTCACTTTCTCATGAGTCTGGGGAGCATGTGAGTCTAACTGCAGGCCCGTCTGCCTCTGACGTCTGATGGGGGAGATGGGGTGGCCCCACCCCCTCACCACAAAGCAGAGGGTGCAGCAGGCTCTTCCTACGCCGCCTGCCTGGGATCCACCTTCCTTTCTGCTCCTCTTTGGCCTTGGCTGGGGGCTGGGAGCTGGGGGCTGCTTCACAGCCAGTCCGGCCTCTTTCTGGCTCAGCAGCCATCCATCCGAGGGGCCCAGACTGGCTCCGCTGACTGCACCCTCTTTCCTTGATCCCAGATCCCCATGGGGCTCAGCATCTCTGTCTGCGTCCGAGTGGGGACGTCCCTGGGAGCCGCGGACACCGTGCAAGCCCAGCGCTCCGCCGCCTCAGGCGTGCTCTGCACAGGTGGCACCCTCTCCCACGCTGGGGATCGAGGGCCTGGGTGCCTGCGGCAGGGCTAGGCGTGGAGCAGCCAGGCTTATTCCACTGGCTACACCTGCGTCGGGCCCAGAGCGGCCCTGGCTGATCCGTGGACGGTACCCCACCCCCCATTCCAGCCTGCTGTGCTCCTTCCCGCCCTCTGCCGGGCTCTCGGGCCTCTGGGGGCAGCCTGCCACCACGCACCTTAGTGTGGCTCCCCAGGCGCTTCCCTCCGGCCGCCCGGGGAGCTCTGAGCTCTGAGCTTGCCCTCCAGCGGCCCCAGGAGCTGGGGCCCTCTGGGCCCCCTCAGAAGGAACCAGCTGGTGTCCTCGCCTGGCTCTGCCTTCTGGCGACAGGTGCAGATCAGCTCCTCCGCGGAGCGCCGGTGCTCAGGCTTCAGGCGGCACTGGGTCCCCTAGAGGCAGCCACGGCACAGCTCCTGCGGGCCACCCCCCCCTCCCCCGCCCACACACAGTTTCCCATTTCTGGCTCATTTCTAGCACGTGACCGGGTGATCCTGATGCTGCTGCCCAGGACCCACTTGGAGAGCCACGGGACAGGCGTTTCTACGCTGTCCTTCCCACAGGGCGGCAAACAGTGTTCCCGTCCACGTGGCTGGCTCCCATGCAGGACGCGAGGCCCCGGTGTGGCCGGAGGGCTGGCCTGTGCCGGCCGCGCTGGACTCCGTGGCTGATTAGCCAAGTGCTCTCCCCTGTCTCTCTCAGTTGGCACCTCGCTGGCTATCGGCGCCCTGCTGAGCCTCCTGAAGAACCACCTGGGCTCCGTCTTCACCAGTGACGAGTAGGCCATCGGTTTCCTCACCGACCTCTGGGGAATGCCCAGTGGCTGCCGCTGTCCTCGGAGATGGGCATGTGCCTGGCTTGGCCCTGGGTCCACAGGGAGCCGGGCTCGCCCTGGCTGGGCCCCCACAGAGACGCCAGCACCTGGGCTGGTTCCCCAGGCCTGGCCCCACCACCTGCCTGTCCCATGGGCCAGGGACCTGGGTTTGCATGCGAGACAGGGTGGGAGGAGGTGCAGTGGCGGGAAAGTGGCCAGGTCTCTACGCGGCAGTCCTGCTTCGGCTCCCAGCGAGGGCTCAGGCTTGTTCCTGCTTCCCTGCAGGGAGGTCATCGCCCTGGTGGACAAGGTCCTGCCCGTCTACATCATCTTCCAGCTGTTTGAGGCCCTCTGCGTGAGTAGCTGAGGACTAGCATCAGCGTGTGGAGAGGCTGCCTGGGCGGTGAGCGCCCCAGGTGTTTACTCACAGGAGGTCTATTTGTACCCCAAACAACGGCTCCCTGCCTCCTGCGGTTCCAGCAAGCCAAACTGAAAAATCGCACCAGCGGAAGCTCACTGGTTCCCAGTCTCTGAGTCTCCGTGTGCCTTTCTCTATCGTCCAAACTCCACCCATAGGAGCCTGGGTCTACGGGGCTTCTGCTGGGGCTGGGGTTCAGTGCAGTGGGGGGCTTCCTTTCCCCTCCCGCCAGCCAGGCACTCGGCCATCCCTCCTCTCTGCGCGGGCGTCTCCCTCCCTCAGCGCTTTGCGGCTCCCCTGATGGGTGAGCCTCTCCTCCTTTCTGGTTGTACATTTCCCACTCTGCCAGCTTTCCTGTGGTTTTGGATGATGTCCGTTCTGTCTTCTAGTTGCTGTTTTGAGATTGTTGTGCGAGGGGGCCAGTTTAGGTGCTTACCTAGCCGCCATCTTGGTTTCTTGTTCAGATTTCAAAGTTCAAGAGGCAACACCTGTCCCCAGGGCGTGACCTCTCTGCTCACATGTGCAGAGCCATAAAGTACCCATAGCCCTCACCCTAACAAAATACAAACAACCAAACACCAGCAGCCGGGGTGCTGACGCGGGAGCTGTGCCTGCGCTTCTTCAGCTCGTCCGCTCCGGTCCCGGGGGACGAGGCTGGGAAGCAAAGCAGGAGGCGAGCTTCCGGCCGGACAGAGGCTGCCAGTCTCCGACGGCAGGCAGTGGGCAGAGCAGCGGCCGCAGGAGCACCACCTGCCAATCCCAGGACCTGGGGATGGTGCCGATGCCATAAGGGTCTTGGGATGGGGGACAGTCCCGGATTATCAGATCCCAGCGTCACGCCAGGGCCTCAGGGGTGGGAGGCGGCGAGCCGGAGAAGGAGACGTGTGAGGGGAGCGAGGTGGGCGCGCTGCTGTGCGGGCTGCGGGGCCCAGGGCGCAGGCGGCTCCGGGAGCTGGGGAAGGCGGGGGACACTGGCCTGGCCCAGAAGGCACCAGCCTTGGCGTCCGCGTGGTGAGACCATTGGGACTCCCAGGCTCCAGGACTATAAAATGACAGTGCGTGGTTTTAAAGCTAAGTCTGTGTGGTCTGCTACAGCAGTGCAGAAAACACCTCCCCTCTCTGAGTGAGGTTTGGTGTCTCCCAGGCCAGTGGCAGTGTCTCTGACTTTACCGCCTTTCTGTGTGGCGAGGATGCAGAGGCGAAGGGGGCCTGAGCTGTGCTCCAAACGTAGCCACACCCGGCACCGCCTGGGCTCCAGCGCCACACAGAGCAAAGGGGTGGGAGCGCCTGCCCCCCCCCCCCCAACTGCCCTCTGCTCGCCCCAGTGTGTCTACGGCGGAGTCCTGAGAGGCACCGGCCGGCAGGCCTTCGGGGCCGTGGTGAACGCCATCGCCTACTACGTGGTTGGCCTCCCGCTGGGCATCGTCCTGGCCTTCGTGGTCAGACTGCGGACCATGGGTACGCGGCGGGGCAGGGGGAGGGCTGGGTGGGCCTGGACACCCGCCCACTGGCCCTGTCCCCCAGGCCTCTGGCTGGGCATGCTGACCTGCGGCGTGCTGGCGGCGGCGGCCCTGGCCGCCTACACTGCGCGGCTGGACTGGGCGCGGGCGGCGGCCGAGGTGAGTCTCTGCCCAGGTCAGCGACTGCCCACCGGGGAGGCCCGGGCACAGATCCCCCCGGAGGGGCCCGACACGACACAGACCCCCCCAGCCTCCCCCCCATGGTCCCTCCCCCCACGGCCCCCTCCCCCCACGGCCTCCTCTCCTCCACAGCCTCCCCTACCCACTGCCTCCTCCCCCCATGGCCCCCTCCCCCCATGGTCCCTCCCCCCACGGCCCCCTCCCCCCACGGCCTCCCCCCCCCACGGCCTCCTCCCCCCACGGCCTCCTCTCCTCCACGGGCCCCTCTCCTCCACCGCCTCCCCCCCTCCGCTGCTCTGAGGGCGCGCTCTGGGGCAGCTGGAGCAGGGGGAAGCGGAGCGCAGTCCCAGGATGAGGGCTGGGGGAGGCGGGGGTGGGGAGCTCCGGATTTGGGGTCCAGCGCGGGAGCCGGAGGCTGCGGGCTGACGGCAGGCTCTCTCCTCAGGCTGAGAAGTACGCGGGGCTGCCGCGGCGGCAGGGCAGCCAGCACCCCGAGAGCGGGCGCCCGGGAGCCGGGCCCCAGGAAGGGGCCGTGTCTGCAGGTAACGCCGAGGCTTCTGCTGCTCAGAGCGGCCCGCGGCCCCGTGCTCTCAGCGGCCTGAGGCCTGAGCCCGAGACACCCTCTCACACACACACCTCCTTACACACACACACCCACACACACACCCTCACACACACCCTCACACACACCCTCACACACACCCTCACACACACACACCCTCACACACACACACACACCCTCACACACACCCTCACACACACACCTCCTCACACACACACACCCACACACACACCCTCACACACACACCTCCTCACACACACACACCCTCACACACACACCTCCTCACACACACACACCCTCACACACACCTCCTCACACACACACACACCCTCACACACACACACCCACACACACACCCTCACACACACCTCCTCACACACCCTCACACACACACCCACACACACACACACACACCCTCACACACACCCTCACACACACCCTCACACACACCCTCACACACACCCTCACACACACACCTCCTCACACACACACACCCACACACACACCCTCACACACACCCTCACACACACCCTCACACACACACCTCCTTACACACACACACACACCCTCACACACACACCCTCACACACACCCTCACACACACACCTCCTTACACACACACTCTCTCACACACACACCTCCTCACACACACACCCACACACACACCCTCACACACACCCTCACACACACCCTTACACACACACACACACCCTCACACACACCGTCACACACACACCTCCTCACACACACACACACCCTCACACACACACCTCCTTACACACACACACACCCTCACACACACACCTCCTTACACACACACACACCCTCACACACACACCTCCTTACACACACACACACCCTCACACACACACCTCCTTACACACACACACACCCTCACACACACCCTCACACACACACACACCCTCTCACACACACACACCTTACAAACACACACACACCCTTAAACCCTCACAAACACACACACACCCTCACACACACCCTCACACACACACACACACACCCTCAAACCTTCAAACACACACACCCTCAAACCCTCACACACACACACATACATCCCCTTACACACAGTCACACACACACCCTCAAACCCTCACAAACACACACCCTCACAGACACACACCTTCACACACACACACACACACACACCCCTCTCTCTCTCTCACACACACACACCCTCACACACACACACACACACACACCCTCAGACACACACACACACACACACACCCTCACACACACACACCCTCTCACAAACACACACTCACTCTCTCTCTCTCTCTCTCTTTCTCTCTCTCTCTCTCTCACACACACACACACACACACACCCTCACACACACACACACTCTCTCTCTCTCTCTCTCTCTCTCTCTCTCTCTCTCTCTCTCTCTCTCTCTCTCTCACACACACACACACACACACACACACACACACACACCCTCACACACGCCCTCACCCTCACCCGGGAGGCAGCCCGCAGCGGGCTCTCAGCTGGGAGCTCCCGGCAGCTCAGCCTCTCCGGTGCCCCCTCCGCAAAGGCCGGAGCTGAGGCCGGAGGCTCCCGGCCGGGCTGTCCTGTCCTGAGGGGAGGGGGGGTCTGCCTGCTCCTCCCGCACCGCACCCCCCGGGCGCACCGTCACCCGGTGTGCGGTGAGCGAGGCCCGCTCAGGCCCCCGCCCGCCCCGCGGGCACCGGGCCGCCGCCCTGAAACCACTGACCGCGGCTCCAGGGAAGCGCGTGACCCCGTCAGTGCGCACACCCAGCGCTTCGCGCTCATCCCGCCCGCTGCCGCCGGGGGCGCAGCCAGCGCGGGGGCGGCTCCGGGGGCGGCCGGCCAGCGCGGGGGCGGCTCCGGGGGCGGCCGGCCAGCGCGGGGGGCGGCTCCGGGGGCGGCCCGGCCAGCGCCGGTGGGGGGGGGCGCAGCAGGGGGGACCCTATACCCCTTCCCGGCCGGGAGGGCTGAGCGCCCCTTTCCTCCGCAGTGGCCACGGGCGCCTGCCCCGGCGTCTCCCTGACGAAGTTCTCGGGCCCCGGGCGCCCCGCGGACCTCCGGGCGGACCTCGGGGCGGACCTCCAGCCGGCGGCCCCGGCCCGCCCCGCTCCCGCCCGCGGGCTGTCGGCGCGGCAGCTGGCTGTGCGCCGCGGGGCCGCGCTGGGGGCCGCGTCCGCCGCGCTGGCCGCGGGGCTGGCGGTGAGCGTCCTGGCCTCCCGGCGCTAGGGGGCGCCGCTGAGGGGGAGCCGGAGCCGCCCCGCACAGTCCCAGGCACTCCGGGGCTGCGGGGCCACATGGCCCTCCCCGAGGCGCGCCATAGCCCAGGGTCCCAATGCGATTCCGCTGTGGCCAACGGCTCCCTCCTCGCCCGACTTGAGGCGAGGCTCCGGGACTGCAGACGCTTCCAACGAGACGTTCCAGTCAGAACAACCGCCACATTAAAAGGAAGCCTTTCCCAGCGGCTTCTGCCCCTCTGTCCGCGGCCTCCGCCCAGCGCTGGACAAGGGGCCGTGCGCCCGACCCCCCGCTTCCGGCCCGCGGTCCCCTCCTCCCCCCTGCGGCCAGCGCGGCTGCCCATCGCCCGCCCACACCTCCCCCTCCACCGGCATTCCCGTCAGAGGCCTGCAGCAGCCTCCCCGCCGCAGGTGACAGGAGGCGCAGTGTGGCCCGTGCGGAGCCGGGCGGACACCTGTGGGCCCAGCTTCTCAGCCGCACGCACGGCCGACGCAGAGGGCAGCCCGGCTCCATGGCCGGTCCCTCAGCACCAGCGGTTCTCACCGCCCACAACCAACCGGACGCAGCGGGCAAGGGCAACAGAGACAGGATGGAGTCCAGCTCCCTGACTTGAAGGCCAGCGTGCTATGAACTCAGCTCCTGTTCGCAGCGAGTGGACAGCAGCCTCCAGCCGGCAGGCAGGCCGCACCCTCGTCTGCCACAGGTGCCTCGTGCCGAGCCTCTAGCACCACGGCACGCACAGGGACAGCGTGGCGAGGCAGTGCCACTGGTTCTCCACCGTGTCCGTGACTCCCAGCGAGGAGGGAAGGGTCCGTGGTCGAACGAGCGCTGGAAACACCCGGGCACCTGAATGCACTGGGGTCTCCCAGCAGCCCCCGGGGCAGGCTGGTGGTGCCCCTTTTGTGTGTGAGAGCTTGGGATTAGTGTCCTACGAATGTGCTCACAAAACATTCTTGAGATCAGCAAATGGGGATGGGAGGGTAAGAATGCCACCAGTTCTGTTTCCTTGCCCAGGCCACTGGGCATTTCTGGCACCAGCTGATGTCCCACAACTTAGTTCTGCATACCCACCAGACACAGCAATAACTCCCACAGGTTAGGGCCTGGGTCCCATATATGCTGTCCCCGTCTCTCCCCACCCTCACTGGCAACTTCAGGCTCTGCACACCGTCCAGGTGTCGCCTAAGCTGCTGACCAACCAGACACGGATGGGAGGTTCCAGTGGCCCCTCCTCAGGCCCAAGGGCAGCCAGATGGGAGGGCTCCCCTGCACTGTCTCCCTGTGCTCCCTGCCTGCTCCCCACTCCTGCCTTGGGGCTTTATGAAGGCTTCATCAGAGGCTCTGATCGAACCATTGGCACGGGCGATTCAACTCTCCCTCCAGCACCCTCCCCCTCTGAGGTTTAGGGGGGAAGTTCCACCCTCTAATCACATAGCTGGTTTCCTTGGCAACCGTCTCCCAGACCACCTCCTCAGGTCCTGTCCTAAAATCTTCATCATTAACATTAACAAGACACCTTAGTCACATTCACCACTTAGGAATTCTGTGGCAGGAACAGGGACAAAGACCATAACTATTTATTATTACAAATTACAACAGCCCAGAGGATGTAGGTGGAAAAAACTATTTACTACATAGGTATTTTAAAGAACAAAAACCAAACTCACAAAGGGCAGAAAGCAGAACCTGGGAAAAATTTCCTTAGCTAGAATTTAAAACGAGGACGCATGTCTTAAAGAAGTTGAGACACACCTTTGGTAAAGACAAAAAGTGTTTATACAATAGTTGGATCAAAGAATTCTCTCCCAAAGATCGTGTCTGAGGTCCCACGCCAAGAATGTTATGGAAATTACCACTTTCATCAAATATAATGGTTTATTTTGAAGCAGACAAGCCAATAATTTAGTTTAACTAGAAATTATAATTACAATTTACTAAATGAAAATGCCATACTGAAGTTATGATTGATTATTCTATTGTTACAGTTAAGCAACCTTTTCCTAAACTAGGGTAGTGATTAATTCTTGACGCCTCGTTCTGTGATAAAGACATACTTCAGACGGGTCTTCAGGAGCAAACTCATTCAGCAAAGCTGATTACACATTCCACCAGTAAACCACATTCTCTCACCCAGTGGGCGGAGTCTGTCTCCAAGGGGGAGGGTGCGGCTCTGGCGGCTGGTCCCCGGCTGGTCCCCAGCAGGCCCCGCGGGGAGCCGCCCTCCTCTGGGCTCCAGTTTGGCTGGTCCCCGGCTGAGCCCCGCAGGCCCTGCCCCTCAGGAGGGCTGCTCGGTCCTCCATCCCCTCGGCCTGGCGTGGAGTCTTCCTGCAGATTTTCCCGAAGGACCTTCCCACCCCGAGCAGCCACGGTCTCCTGCCCAAGACGGACGGAAATGGGTTCCCCAAAGGGGCCTCTCTGAAGTGTAAAAAAGTGAAATTTACTTGCATTGTGCTACAGAAATAAAAAAACTTAAAGATCTGTCCTTGGAAGGCCACTAGCTCGCAATTTGAGGGCCCTGACAGAGGATAAGAATTGTTGTAAGTACAGCATTTCTACTCCATTCAAAATGCCAGTTAGGTTTTGTAAGATGTAGATCCTAGAACAACGCCTACACCGTGCGAGTGACGGTGACACCCGAGTCTTCCAGGACTGACAAGGTGCCCCGGGGCTGCCGCCCCAATAAGCCCCTTGGGCAGGGACCAGAGGTGCCACAAAGCAAACACAGCGCGACGGCGGTGGACGAGAACGGAGGAGCACCTGGTCAGGCGGCACGTCTGCCAGTGGGCCACCTGGTGGAGGTCAGGTCCGCAAGCCCCAAGGGCGAATGAGGGACAGGGACTCTTCTCCCCGGTTCTAGAGCCCGGGAAAATCTATCCTCATCTCCCTGGTGGAGGCAACAGCAGGGACGGGGCGGGGCGGGGCGTCCCATGTCCCATGACCCGGGGGGAGGCAGTCCCTGAGTGGTTCCGAGACGCCTTTGGGCTCCCAGGGATGCAGGGGCAGCTCAGGCACTCCTTCCCTGGCCCCAGTCCGGGCGGCACAGTCCGGAGGAGGGAGGCTCTGAGGGTCCTCAGTGGGGAATGCTGGGATTTGGCTGAAATGCAAGTTGCATTCATGGCGCTTGGCAATGACATCAGGGTTGATTAGGGTGCATGTTCTCTTCCGTTCCTGGCAGGATGCTAAAGCTATGGCTTCATTAACTACTGCACAGAGTAGTTCCTGGGCGGCGAGGAGGCGGAGTGGGGCCACTGTTCAGTAGTCCAGCACCTGGAGGGAGGAGAGAGACCCGTCACCAACCAGCCTGGACCGTGCGCTGCGTATGCGAACTCCGAACGCGTGCCCCTCAGGGGCCTCAGTGCGGGGTGAACTGGGGTGAGGTCATGCTCTCCCCACACCTGTAACCACGGCGCTGCGGCGGCATCCTGTCCTGCGCTGGTGGGACCGCACTGGCAGAGACGGGCGTGGAAATGCTTGCTCACTGTCCTCACACCGAGAGCGTGAAATATGAAAACCGCTCAGCAGCTACAACGCTGCTGACTTCACCGGGGCGGGAGCTTGGCCGTCAGGGCGCCAGCCTGATGGGGCCGAGGGCATGCTCCCCGGCCAGGGCACATACAAGCAAGCAACCAGTGAACACATAGGAGGTGGAAAAACAAGTCGATGCTTCTCTCGCCCTTTAAAATTTAATTAAAAACACTACGAAATTCCAAGTCCTACTAACTCCAACCCATACTGCTGTGGCTGAAGCGCTGCCCACACCTTAGAGTTCACTGTCACGTTGGATTTCCAAAGGCTGGTGACAGGTATCACGTCCGCCTTCTGCAGCCCCGGCCTCTCCATGCCCTCGGCACGCTCCCTGCAGCCGGCACCGCGCCTCCCCGGGGCTGTGTCCTGTGTGCATGTGCCTCTGTGGAGGCAGCACTCACACGTACTGACAAGTGTTTCTGACCACCCCGGCCGCATGGCGCAGGTGGCTGGAGCATCCTTCTCACTCCAAATGTTGTGGGTTCGATGGCCGTTGGTGCAAGTGTGAGGCAACCGAATGATGTTTCTCTCTCACATTGATGTTTCTATCTCTCTCTCCCTTTAAAATCATGTAAAAACATATCCTTGGGAGAGGATTCTTTAAAAGTCTTTTAAGTCCATCCTAATCCTAGCAAAATGAATACAATCACATCCACACATAATTATAATAAAGATTCCTCAAGTAAATGACCAATATAGGCTCCGTCATTTATTTACAATAAAAGGTAATTTAAAAAAAAATGGATAAAAGCTCAGAGAGAATAGCAGAGAAGCAGCTAAAAGGAAAAGAAAGCCAAATCTTTAGAGTCTCACCCTGATTCAACCAGCCTGACCACCGCCTCACACCACCATGGTGTTGAGACCGGAGGGTGGAGCTGGGAGGCACCGGGAGCCTGGGGCTCCCCTCGGGCTGCAGGAGCAGGTGCTGAGGCCTAAGGAAGGGCCTTGCCCATGTCAGAATCGACGGCAAATGCCCACTGTCTCTTCTACAGCCCCAGCCCGCTGCGTAGAGAAGGAGGAGTCCCTACCTCACTGCACAGACAGCTGGTTCTGACACGTCGCTCACACGGCTCCCGGGGCGGCCAGGAAGCCCAGCAGGGCCTCCCTCCTCAGCACAGCCCGGTGTTTCTGAGAAAACCCAAAGGACTCAATGCAGCCGGTCTGCGACCCCACCAAAGCCATGCAGCTGCGAGGTCAGGTGGGGCAGGACACAGAGGCACACGTGCTGTCCCATTGCATGCTCCCGCCTCTCCCCAGCCTGCTCTGCACAGGTGGTGTCCCTTCAGTGCAGCCTCGGGGGCGAGGGACACCCCCGGAACCACCGCCTCCCCTTCCACCGCCCGCACCTCGAGGACACGCAGCCTTAGTCAGCCCATCGCTCTGCCGCCCGTCACCAGAGCCGTTCTATGGAGGCAGCCCCGGAGGGCAGGCACTCAGCCCTCCCTCACCCATGCCGCTCACCACACCATGGCCACCAGGCCTCCTCCTCCCTCTAGGGCACTTCAAGAAAGAAACCAAAACGGAGGCACCAGGAGCAAAGGCAGAGGGTTAGGAAGCTCAGAGCCGGCCGGCGGTTCTCGTGGCTGAAGTCCGAGACCAGAGGTCAGCGACTGTGCCTCGGACACGGGTTCTGTGGCCACGAATCTCAGCACAGCGGCAGCGAGAGGCCACGCCGTGAGGGCGTGCCTGTGCCCCCACCTTTCTGCGAAACAGGAGGCTGGCCAGTGGCCGTGCCTGCCCACCGCCTGCATCTGAGCCAGAGTTAATGGAGGACTGAGCCCTGACTGGCGGCCCCCAGGCAGGGCCCGACGCCACACGAGCAGAGGACTTACCTTGAACAGCACGGCGGCCACCACGCCCAGGATGGCGAGGAGCAGGAGACCGAGTTTGCCTTTGCTGAACTTCTTCAGAAGGAAGAATTTTGCCCAATCCACCTTGGACTGGCTGTTGGGGGGATACCTGAGCTTGTTAGCACTTTCTCCCTTTAAACTTTTCAATAAGCAGGGACGTTGATGAGAAAAAGTGTCGAAAGAGTATTTTCCGTGGTAAGCTCCCATCCCACTGGAACCTGAAACACAGGAACAGACACCAGGGCAGCGCTGCAGGCTGCTGCCTCGAACCCGCTCCACCTCGGCTGGCCCGGCTCTTCTCACTCTTCCCGGCGCCGCCCCTGGCGTCTCCCTGTAACAGGATGTTCCCCGCAGGCTCTCCGAGGCCAGGGACAACGCCGGGCGGCCCCTCACTCCCTCACCACCCCCACGTCCCAGGGGAAGGGAGCTGGCAGGGGCAGGACTGCCCACGGGGAAACACAAGGCCTGGATGGAGCCCAGACCGCCAGGCGGCTCCACGCCACAGCCCCCGCACCCACTGGCTCTTCCAGCTCCCAGAAAGCACCCGAGAGCAGGATGACCGGCGACACCGCTGGCGGTGACAGGAAGGGAAGCCTGCCTCTCAAAAGCCACGCTCTGGCCAGCATTCACTTCTCGATCTACTGTGTGTGCTGGGCAGACACACGTCCGGCACCCAGGGCGGGAGGCAGTTCATGGCCCGGCAAGTGGATGGCAGCTGAGCTGCAGGGAAATCTGCAATATGGATCCAAAGACGGGCATTTTGAAAAGAACTCGGAAGAGGTCGTCTTTAAACAGTGGGCTACGGGTAATCGGAGTGTTCTCGGGGCTCTTCCATCTCCCCAGGTTTTCTTGCTAAGTCTGAATGCCTCTCGAATTTGGGGGAAAGTTTGTTTCCTGTAAAGAAGAGGGTCGTGGTGCCAAGTGTACCCACTCAGACAGGCCTGAGCCCATCCCTGGATCAGCATTCAGCAGCCCTGAGCCTCATCTTGGGCTGCCCCTGCCAGTGGGAGCCGGGATCCCGTGGGCACTGAGCAACTAGACACAGCAGAGTCTACTCGAATCCTTGAAGGATGTGGGCAGCGAGACCACATGACTAACTAACCATCCTTCCCTCCTTCACCACTCTCTCCACACCCAATTACACCCAGCCCATCAGCAAATCATGTTTCTCCCTTCCCACTAGGTCTCCCCCACCGTCCTCGCCCAAACCACCACCAGCCAGTCTGGATCCTGCAGCCCCGCCCGCCCCTCACGGCAGTGTGTCACGTCCTGCGAGGGCCTGGCATCGTGGGAGGCAGCGGGCTTCTTGGGACAGGCTCACCTTAACCAGGTGGGTGTGACGGGCAATGAGGGCCAGGTGCTGCCACGGCAGAGGCAGAGAAGCAGGCGCTGTGGGGCTTTGTTGTGTGCTTTTTGCTGGGAGAGTGTTTGCACACGTGTCAGTTCGTATATCTCTGAGAGGTAACAGGGAAGCCACCACCCAGCTCCCAAAGGAAAAATAAAGAGTTGAGTCAGTCCTCCCAGGTGTGAGAGAGGCATGTGGGTCCCAGCCCAAAGGGCCTCTGAGGTGAGTGCCCGCGGGACAGCTCAGGGCGAGCAGCCTAGCACTGCACTCCTGGCAGTCTCCCCTGCCACTCACTACCTCCCCAACCACGATGGGGGACCCGAGTGCTGGCGCCCCAAACCCCCTCAATCTGGGAGGAGGACAATCATCGTAGGCAACGAAAGGAACGAAGTGATCAGAGCCTGTGGCAGGTGCTGCTCAGGGTGAAAGGTGGGGGTGGCAGGACAGAGATGAACCCCAGCACCGGGCGTGCAGGGCAGCGGGAGACACTGAGAGGACCCCCTGCGGAGAGGGGGAGTGGGGAGCGGCAGTGGGGACACTCACCCACGCCCCCGAAGGGCAGCGAGCTGAGCGTGAAGTGCATGATCACGTCGTTGGCCGTGACGCCCCCGCTGGACGTGCTGTCAATCATCCGCCGGACGAGCTGAGGGACAGAGGGAGGCTGGTCAGCGCTTCAGGCAGCCCGCGGGCGTGGGGGCGCCATGCTTCACCTCCAGTAGAACGTGGGGAGCCCCTGCTCTTCTAACCAGGAGCCCGACCGAGGAGAGGCGCCCGCACAGGGCAGACAGCCAACGCCATCCCTACTGAACTCCCAGGCCCCTCCCAGGAGGCAGTCCCGATCACCCTCTTAGAGCTGGACTCCCCACATGGTAGCAAAGCCTTTTAAAAGGAAGGGAGAGCTCAGTATAAAACTGTCAATACTCTACCTCTGCTTTCAGGTACAGAATATGACTTCTAGGTGCCATTTAGCTTTTATGGAATGCAACAAATATGTAAGACTTAGTATCCAGTTTCTGAAGAAATGGTGTCCTAAGATCTCTCCAGCTCAGCACAGAGAACTGCAGGCATCGCAACCCCCCCCCTCCCCTCAGCACCCCTTGCCCCACAGCCCGGGGGTGGCATGCTGCGTATTAAGAAAGGCTCTCACTGAAACGCCAGTGGATTAATGTCAGAAAAGAAAAGCTTCTAATGCTGGTCCACGAGGCTCCCAGGGGAGGTGTCGGACATCACCCCTGGAGACCTATCCCCAAGGGGTACGCCCGCTCACAGCCCAGCCTCCCGAGAAGAGGCGGGGGGTCCCGGTGTCACACAGTAAGCCACTGGCTCTGCTGCCAGAGGGACACGCTGCCAGTGGTGGCCGTGAGGGTGTGCTGCTCTGTGACGTTTACCTTGTTGTTACGAGAAAACACGTAGAGAGCCAATGGCTTCTCGCGGTCATTTATGAATTCTATGGCTTCATCTGCATTCTTCACAGGCACTATTGGGAGAATTGGTCCAAAAATTTCCTCTTGCATCACCTTGGTTTCAGGGTCAACGTCAGTAAGTACTGTTGGGGCTGAAAACAAAGCAAGCAGATGAAAAAGCTACAGGAGACAGGGGCAAACCCCACTGACCTTTCAGCAGGCCACCTCTCCATCCCCCCTCCCCTCCCCGGGACCGCGTGGAAAAGCCCGGGTATGGAGGAGCCAGTGCTATCTGAGCGTCTGCGAGCACAGGGCGCGGGGTCATCATGCAAACCAAGAGGAGGAGCCGTGCCTGGATGCAGCTTACGCATGTGTCACCCGGCCACAGCACACGCCTGACAGGAGGTGCGCACCTCTCTGGGAGCACAGACAGCCCTCTGGGTCACATCAGCATCTTTAACCAGTGCTTTCCTGCAGAGTCCCACTGAGCGGCATTCCACTCCGTCACACACTAAGAAAACATACTTAAGTGGCCAAGACTCCCTCCCCCTCAGTCAGGGCTCCGTCCACTGCGGGCAGGGGCGCAGGGAGGCACTGTGGACACGGAAGGAGCTTGGCGAACACCCAGCCTCACCCCGCGCCTGCCATCCCGGGCAGCACGCCCCAAGACCTGTCACATGCTGGGAGGTCAACTGAAGGAAGCGCCCGGCAGCAGCGACTGTTCCTCCTTCACTCCCTGCCTCCGACCGGCCCTGGCAGCACGTGGACAGTCCTGCCGGCACTCATACACCCCCATCCACGCCTCCCCGGGGCGGAGAACGGACTCTGTTTGGGTGTCCACCCTCCTGGCACAGCCATGAGCTCAGATAAGGTGACCCTGACTCCAGGTCAGAGGAAAGCTCCTGATGAGTCTGAGCTCATCATGAATGCCCTTCCCAGCCGCTGAGGATGGGACAGAAAGACCAACAGCTGGGATTCCTGAGGTACGGCCGGCCCCTGGGCTCACAGGATGCCGCTCACCTGAGAACACAGTGTTCCTGTGGTTTGAGCCCCGTAAGTTTTAAGTGGGTTTTGTAATGTTCAGCATCCTATCTGATAAAACAAGTAAAGCTGGTTGGGGCAGCCTTTTGCCAACTAAATGTGTCATTCTCCTGTTATATGTTACTTTGGGAAAGGGGCTTAAAATTCAAAACTCATTTTAAGAATTTTAAAAGCCACCAAAAGTAAACAAATGTCAAGCATGAGAGATCAAACAATTTCTGCAAAATCGTTGCCAGGGGCTAGTTGTGGAACAGTGGCTAGGCTATTTCTTTGAGCCGTTTTGCCAGGCGTAACCTGGAAGTAATTCCAGAGTTCTGTGTAGGAAGAAAACTATTTGTAAACACAGAAAAGCTAGTGCCACACAAGTGGTTTAATTCAACGTGTGTGTGTGTGTGTGTGTGTGTGTGTGTGCGCGCGCGCGTCTAGCACGTCCAGATCATCTTTACAGTTTACCCGAAGCGCCTTTAAGTTTATTTTGCACAAAAGATCTGTTTGTTTAGTGTCAATAAACACTGTCAGTGCCTCTCCCATGAGGAAGGGCTCCCCTTACCTATGTAGCGGGTGGCCTCGTCAGACTCCCCACCAAAGGCGATCTTCTGTCCTTCAAGCAAACTCAGGAGCCTCTTAAAGTGACGAAGATTGATGATCCTTTCATAATCAGGAGATTCCTTTATATTTTCTCCATAAAATTCCTATTTAAAACAATAGTGTTTCACTGTCACAAAAGACCCATATTTCAATTTCTTCACAAGTACAAAATCTACTCCTGCTCAAAAAGCATCACTTTCCACCCCACCAAGTGCTTTCATAGCACTGACTGTTCCCAACTTTGAGGGGTCAGCTTCAGATTTTTTTACTTTGTGACGGTACAAAGTGGTACAACTTGAGTGGAAAGTGTATTTCGGACTCTGCTCTTCTCCGGGCCGGTGAGGTGTGGGCAGCGGCAGTGCGGTGACTGCCCAAAAGCAGCCAATGTGAGTGGCCGAGCACTGTGAGCTCCGTGGCACTGAGCGAGGATGTCCAGCAGGTTAGGTGCCAGATCCATTTCCACTTATATTTCCAACTTACAAAGGCTTGCAGGTCACCCACTGGAGGTCACGGAGACCTGCAATGGTGGTACAGCCAGGCAAGGACAGCAGTTCAAGCAGCCGCACATGCCTGTCGTTCTCCAGTCTCCGGGCCAGAGGGGCCTTGTTCCATCTGAGGACCCTGCTTCCCTGTAGCTGTGGCTGCTCCCTGCACGGAGCTGGGTGGCTGCAGCAGAGACCCCGGGACTGCAAAGCCTAGAGTGTTTGCTACCTCGCCCTTTTCACGCAGGTCGCTGAGCTCTGCGCTTTTCCATGGTTTTCCATCTTCTCTAGACAGGCATTTCCACCCGTCACAGACAACAGGGCAGCCAGTCAGAAGATCCAAATACAGCCTGGTCAATTAAACCCTCAAAGGCCATAAGTCAATATTATTATGTAAAACAGACAGGAAATTACTGAGTTGTTGCACCACTTCACCTTCCTCTCCAATCAAAATGCACACTGCCCGCCCACCTCCGCACAGGTCAGGTCTGGGTAAGAACCTCCAAGCAGGAGCAGCCACGCCTGCCTTCCCTCTCAGGCAGGCCCCATCTAAACTCCAAGAGACCCAGGAGACTTGCAACCAGGGGAGCAAAGGGCAGCGGCAGCCTGTCCTGGGCTGACCCCTGAACCTGTCTCCAAGGCCCCTTTTCCCTGACTCCCCAGAGAGTCAGAGCAGCCCGGCCCAGGTGCTCCTGCCACGTTGTCTCTCCTACGCTCTTTGTTTCCCTGCCTCAGCTTTAAGAAACATCCTCTCAAACCAGACAAACCCCCCGCCCCGCCCCCAAGCAAACAAGCATCATCCCAGCAGCTTGTGGACCTGCATGTTCCTGGCGCCCCCTACCCTCCCACCCTGTGCCACCAACTACGATTTGCCATGCTGGTGGCACCTGGAGTCCCCGGGCCAGCGGAACCACGGTGGAGGGTGAGGACCGGGAACTGTTCTTACACGGCTCCCTGGTGACCTCGGTTGAGAACCTCTGTGCTCAGAGAATAAATGCCTCAGAGACCACAGGGCCTTACTCCTTTGGAGCCAAGTCCGTCACCGTTCTCCACAAAGCTCGACTCCTCCGATTCTCAGTCCTCGCCACACAGGGGGTTTTAATCCCCTCTCTGCCACCTCACACCCCCCCAGTCTGGCCAATTCTCCTTTCATCTTCTCCTGGTCTGGCTCCATCTTCCCTCCCATCACTCTGTCTAAGACCCCTGGCACCTGAGGCCTGTAACCCTGCCCGGAGCAGCGCCCCTCCCTAAATTCCTGGTGTGGTTTCTGTGCTCTGGTCACAAATGGCGCTTGCTCCCTGGTGTTCTGGATCCTTGTGTTCAGTGCTCAGTTAGTGCCTGTCAAGTGAACAATGATCATTCCAGTAATTCCTCCCACCAGGGGGCTCAGTGACCCATTCACACTGGTTCATCCCTTCCTTTCTTCAATCCAAACCAGACACGCGGACACTCCCTTACAGCCTTCCTGATTTCCTCCCTAGAGACCTTTACTTTGCACACCGGGAAGACCAATACCCACGTTAAGAACAGACTATAGCCAGGACCGGTTTGGCTCAATGGATAGAGCGTCGGCTTGGGGACTGAAGGGTCCCGGGTTCGATTCCAGTCAAGGGCATGTACCTTGGTTGCGGGCATATCCCCAGTGGGGGATGTGCAAGAGGCAGCTGATCGATGACTCTCCCTCATCGATGTTTCTAGCTCTCTATCTCTCTCCCTTCCTCTCTGTACAAAATCAATAAAATATATTAAAAAAAAAAAAAAGAACAGACTATAAATGGGTGGTTGATTAACTCACTCCTCCAAACACTCTACACACAAGCACCGACAACCTTAATTGGCATGACCACTATGCCACCTGATTACACTCAAAGGACGGGCAACATTCTCTCAAAACCACACACAGACATTACCCGGTGTGCAGCAAGCCTCTTTAAAACGTGCAATACTGACTACTTAGTCAGGAGCACTGGCCTCTTTCCCTTTAGCTTTTCCCATTAAAAATGACAACATCGAACACAACAACAGAAGGGATCAAAACTGTACCTATTTTTTTTTTTTGGTCAAATTAGGAAACAAGTTTTTGGTGTGCTGCAGAATTTCAGTAGTTTGTGCGCCATGAGATGGAAAAGGCTGAAATTGCTGTTCTAAAGCATGTACCACAACTAACCCGTTTATCCATCAGCAAGTCAACTAGACAAGTGTGCTTCTAACCAGCCTGACCTTAGTCCCAGCAGACACTCCATGGAAAGGGTGCGAAGCATTTATAATTAATTAGCCAGGGGGTTAACACAGACTATGGGGATTTCCAGGGGAAGCAAGGGTGTAAGGATGCTGCCTGCAAACAGCTGATCTGACTCATCTTCATGAAACCAATGGCATCAGACACGTTCACCACTAACCTTCACAGTTTCCTTAATCTTCTGCACGATTTGACTCTGGAGAGATGGCTCGCAGAGAATGTAGTCGGGAGCAATGCAGGTTTGGCCGCAGTTCATGTACTTGCCCCAGGCTATGCGTCTGCAGGGGACGAGCCAGAGAGACACAGGATTAATCTTCTCTTCTTCTGTCACACACTTTTGTGTTATTTGAATGTTTTCAGCTAACATGTTCAAACACTTTCTTGGTAATCTTTTGCTGTTGTTGTTAATCCTCACCAGAGGATATTTTCCCATTGATTTTTAGAGAACATGGAAAAGAAGGAGAGTGGGAGAAGAGAGGAGAAGAGAGGAGAAAAGAGGAGAGGGAGAGAAAAAGAAAGAAAAACATCGATGTGAGGGACACATCGATTGGTTGCCTCCATGAGCCAGGGATCGAACCTGCAACCCAGTACCTGCCCTTGACTGGGAATCAAACCTGTGAGCCTTCCATGTGTAGGCTGATGCTCTAACCACTGAGCCCACCAGCCATGGCACTTAACAATCTTTGTAAAAATATTTTAAGAACTCGTCTCTAAATCAGCTGGCTGGAACTTGGAGTGCATTTTCCAGCTGATGTGAAGGACTCTAAGGAGTGGGCAAATTCTCATGCCAACTCACGGGAAACAGCCCTTTGCCCGCAGAGAGCTCTACCCGCTACAGGAAAGAGAGAATAGCTTCTCAACACCCTCTGCCTCCCCCACTTCCCCCAAAGGGACATGAGGGATGGCAGGAGTTCCACACAGGCTCCGCCTCCTGGCTGCAGCTTTAGTCCTGCTGGCAGGATGCTCGGGCAAGCAGAACAGCAGCCGCTCCCCCTGGAGAGCTGTGCCCATGGATGGGTCAAAGTCTGGGACTCTCACCAGCTGAGAGTCCCATATTCTGGCAGGCAGACTTCTACTTACGAAGACAACCTGGACCCCAGCTCCCGCTCTATACCGCCTCCTTGCTCCGTGTCTCCGAAGTAGAGAGAAGCCACCCCCCACCCCCACCCGCAGCACACAGCCCTCTGGGTCCTTCCTGCTAGCGAAACCTGATTTAGCAGAGAGAACCTGACACCTTTTGTCCTCTGGTTCCCAGAGCAAGATGCTAATCTAAGTTAAAAGATAAGTAATACTGGTTTTATCAACAAAGGCGCTCAGTTAAGAAATGGACGGAATACCCTTTCTGTTGGGAATGTAAAGATCTTATTAGGCATACCCAATACTTTGGATCACCTACCAGCAGAAAAGTAAAATTTCTTGTCGATCTGTAATCTCAAGCACAGAAGACCCTCTCCCATGACCCCGGGAGTGAGGGCCTACTGCTCATTGCTGCTGGCAGAGCAGAAGAGACAGTCTGTGCAGGAATTCAGTTACCCATGAGGACTTCAGCCGCCAAAGCTTCCTGTCTCTCGGGGTCCAGAGGCGTAGGGCTCCAGTGCAAAGAGGATACATCAACCCGGAGTCCCCACTGTGCTAGGAGAGCCCCAGGGTCAGGGCCCGCCTCACCTGCAGGCGACGTCCAGGTCACAGTCTCTGTCGATGTAGCACGGACTCTTCCCGCCCAGCTCCAGGGTCACCGGGGTCAGATGCTTGGCAGCAGCCGCCATGACAATCTTCCCCACCGCAGTGCTCCCGGTGTAGAGGATGTGGTCAAACCGCTGCTTCAGGAGCTCGGTGGTTTCCTCAACACCGCCATTAACCACAGTGTACAGGTCCTCAAAGAAGGAAAGACAGCCATGGCCGGTGTGGCTCAGCCGGTTGTGCATTGTCCTATCCACCTCAAAGTTGCCAGTTCAATTCCCAGTCAGGCCTCGAACCACCCCTCCTCCCCCCCGCCCCATAGGGCTGGGGGGCATGAAGGCAGCAGCCCATCGACGTTTCTGTCTCTCTCTCCAAATTCAATTTTTTTTAAATCTTAAAAAAAAAAAAAAAAGATAAACATTTGCACTGCCAAATTAATCAATTGTCTAAAGAGCAGTTTCTTCAACACGGACATGTAATATTCAGTAAAACCGAGAAAAGATGGAGACCAGCCCTGTGAGGCTAGAAGAGGGAGAAGATGGAGGACAAGGGTGGAGAGAGGCCAGTGGCATCTGAGAGCCATCATCCCAAGGGACGACTGGAGAGTGGAGAGTGCAGGGTTTTCTACATGAGCTCAGCAATGAAACACAAAAGAGAAGAGAGCATATGGGTGCCCTGGACCAGGGGCCTGTGCAAGCTGAGAATTTAGGGGAGAAAGAAATGGCTGCTATGAGTGACCGCAGACAGGCCCCCACCTCACGTCTGAACCTGGACATTCTCTCTCTCAACACAGCGCAGGGCCTAGCCCACGGCAGGAGCCAAGTACCTGCCTGCTGGCAGGAACATGGATTGGAAGTCAGACCTGACTGACTCTTCGCTCTGTGACTTACTATAATAGCTAGTGTCTCGGGCAGGTACCTTGTCTGTTACTGGGAGCTCCTACAGCTTTGGGCTGAGCATTACCAGAAGGAACCTTTTGAAAAACGACACGAAGAGCAAGAGGACAGACAACGAGGAAAACAGGGAGATGTGCTAGAACATTCTGAGGTGCTGGCATGAAGTAAAAGTTGGTTTGTGGGCCTCCTGTCTCCACTAATTAGGGCTAATCAGTCCTCATTCACTTCTGAGTTTAACAGCCCCACTGTTTCAAGTTTTAACCTGTGTATGGCTCAATCTGCAGAGCGTGTGTGACTGATGCCCCCACAGCATCACCATGCCCATCGGGACGCTCAGATAGTGAAGAATTTACGCTTGGTTTCTAATCCTACTCCAACCACGACATCTCTCTGTTTTCATCATCCTTCTGAGCCAGACAGCCACAGCCATCAGAACAACCTGTTCTGTGGTTTAGACAACAAAGGACAGTATTATTCCAGGGGCCGGAGTTAGATTACTGTAAGTTAACGCGTACAACTACAAGTGCAATATTTTAAAGCTGCCTTCCAATGACAGTGAAGTGAGGACTCCTTCCTGCAGCAATTCCAGGCCGGACTAAACCGTCCCAGCTCCGTAGTGGTGGCAGGAGGAACAGAGACGGAGCCCTGTGGTTGGAGCGCGTCTTCTTTACTCAACGCCGACACCCTTACAGGCCAGCACTTTAACCCGAGGGACAACTGGTTTGGGCAGCCATTTTCTCCCTGCAGCTTCATGCCACAAACAGGCCCATTTAAAGCGAAGTGTCCTTATACAGTCATATTCCATGAAGACAAGAGATGACCAGAACCCAGCACTGAGCTAGTCCCTCATTAAGTAATTCACCAAAAGAATGCACCTAAAATCACGTTAGAATTAACCTAAAAACAAAGTTAATCCAATGCCGAAGGGCAGAAGAGGGCTGTGATAGCAGGGGCCATGCAGCCATTGGCTCCATGTATGGCGAGCACAGCAGCTGAGCTGTTCAAGCTCTTTCGGAGCTGCTGGAGGCTTAGGACACTGCAAACTGACTCCCGCACCAATGACAGGCGCTGGAGGCGAGGTCCCACAACCAACGGGTGTTCTGCAGGTGGTGAAGGCATTCTTACCTGGTCCAAATACTGGGGGAGCAGCTTAGCCAAGATCTTGGCTGTATTTTCACTTAGTTCAGAAGGCTTGATAATCACAGCATTTCCTAAACAAAGCAAAAAACAGAACAGTATCATCTAATACCTGATTAGATGTTTAATACCTACCAAAATGGTGTGCGTGCAGGGAGTACAGGCTAAGTATGCCAATTATTTCTGTTGCTCTTAGTTCTGTTCAAAGAGCTTATCTCAGTTTCTCTTTTCCAAATGCTAACTTCTTAGTTCTCATCATCGTCAGATAACTAACCACCCCCATTCCTCTCTATTTCCATCACCTTTCTCCCACTCCCACGCCTGGACTTTCCTCTCTGCCCTGGAATCATTGGGCAAACAGGCCTTGTCAACATAAAGCTGCCATTCTGGGTCCTCAGAAATGAGACCTAATCTCTTGGCATAAACCCAGGCCAGCCTTGCTCCCACAGCCCTTATCTGGGTGGAGAAATGGTCGGACAGAATCAGTCGGTTCACCCACGGCCACAGCTGGCACCTGAAGCCACTTGAGAATATGGATGCCTGACTTCAATTCCCGAGCCTATCCACTCACGCCTTCATATCCTTACGCTCTCCACGTACTGCTGTGTAAACCAGGGACACCATCAAAGCAAATGCACTCAGCCACCATCCCTAACTTATCCCCAATGCGAACAGGGCCCTCTGCGAAGGTACGGAGACATACGCGGACACCAGACCTGCAGCAATGGCTCCGATCAGCGGCTGCATGATGAGAACGAAGGGGTAGTTCCACGCCCCTATAATCAGGACGACCCCCAGGGGCTCTGGCTGGACGTAGACCTCGTCCATCATGGTGAGCAGGTTCTTCTTGACTGGCTTAGCAGTAACCCACTCAGGAAGCTGCTCCAGCACGAGGTCAACTTCCCCAAGAATGGTAATGACTTCATGGCTGTAGGCGTTCAGCTCACTCTGTGAGAAGAGTCACAGGAAACCTTGCATAAGTACGACACATCCACCCAAGTGTCTAAAGCTCCAGGCCAGGTACACCGCAGTGAAAACGCCTTATCAGACCAGCAGGCTTGCCATTCAGCTTCCTTTTGCTCCTCCGAGCTGTCAGACTTGCTAACTCCCTCTCTAATAGACTCAATCCCTCTAAAACCTCTGCTCATCCAAGGCGTTTAAAACCAGGCTTAAACACTCCCGTCAGCATCACCTCCCTGATTAGTAACGGCTCGCCTCGATCACACTTTATAAAGCATAGCAACTATGCTTTTGACCTGCATCTTAATGTTTCACCCCAATACAGCCCTTTATAACTATTCTCATTTTATCTGTATATGTTTTGTCTCCCAACCAAATTTAAAACACTCAAGGACAAGGAAGTTATGTATTTCTTTAGTAATCATGCACACACACACTAACAAGTGGCCCGATGCCCGAATTCGTGCTCAGGTGAGGTCCAGCCAGCCTGTCCCTATCAGGGCTGGGCCAGGCCGGCCAGGGGGAGGGGATGCAAGATGTTAGCCATACAGCCCTGCCCCCGATTGGGGTAGGCGGGGTCAGTCAGATGCCAGGCGTGCCGGGAGAGGGACTGCGGGAGGTTGGGCGGTGGTGGTGGGGGATCAATCATGGCCCTGATCAGGCCGGTTGGCTGCGTGGTGCGTGTCATAGCTATTGGTTGTTCTGTCATTCCAGTTGCTTGGCTTTTATACACACACACACACGCACACACACACACACACACACACTAGAGGCCCATGGCGGAGAGGGTCCCTCAGCATGGCCTGGGACCCCTCATTCTTAACCACCGGCCTACTCAATGCTCCTTACTGCTCAGCTTGTTACTCCTTAGTGCTGCCACGGAGGTGTGAGGGGCTCCCACCACCGCTGTGAGCCAGGCCACTGACCACCAAGGGGCAGCTCCTGCATTGAGCGTCTGCCCCCTGGTGGTCAGTGCATGTCATAGAGGCCAGTCTTTCTGCCCTTCAGTCGATTTGCATATTAGGGTTTTATTGTATAGGAGACTAGATAGATTCACACAAACATTTCATGCTTGTAGGATAAATGATTCAGACTTTTAAAAATCTTAATTATTCTATCTTATTTATTTGAAACCACTGCCCCTCTCCACCTAAAGCACACTAAAGGGAATTCTATAGTTCCTGTTGTTACTAATACTAAGATACTACCATGTTTCCCCGAAAATAAGACATCCTCCGAAATAAGACCTAGCGCATGGAAAGATAAGACATCCCCTGAAAATAAGACCTAGCGCAACTTTGGGAGAAAAAATTAATATAAGACACTGTCTTATTTTCTGGGAAACAGGGTACTACCCTTCAAGATAGTCTTTTGGGAGAAGCGAGGGAGAGGGAGACTCCCAAAGCCAGAGCAAAATCTTGTTCCCTGTGGCATAAACATAAAAAGTAAAAACATAAAGGGGATGGGGGGGGGGGGGTGGAGACATATGTGATAGTATCCATTATTAAAAAAAAAAAAAAAAGTAGCCCAAACCGGTTTGGCTCAGTGGATAGAGCATTGGCCTGTGGACTGAAAGGTCCCAGGTTGGATTCCAGTCAAGGGCATGTACCTTGGTTGCGGGCACATCCCCAGTAGGGAGTGTGCAGGAGGCAGCTGATCAATGTTTCTCTCTCATCGATGTTTCTGGCTCTCTATCTCTCTCCCTTCCTCTCTGTGAAAAATCAATAAAATATGTTGTTTTTTTTAAAAAGTAAACCAAAATGACAATATTATTAGAAAACACAGGGGAATGTATTTATGCCCTGGCCACTAGCTACTCAAAGCTTGGTTCCAAAACAGGCCCATGGCATCACCTGGAGACTGATCAGAAACTCACCCCTCAGACCTCTCGCGTCCTAACGGGTCCCAGGGGTCCTGGCGCCCTTTAGGGAGCACTGACCACAGGAAGTCAGGGCGACCCATAGACCCTTCTTCACAAGAACCAGGAAACAAAGTTAACAGACAAGAAGCAGGCTCTGAGAAAACATCTGCACTAAATGACGCCGACAAATTACCGGAACCCAAGATAAAAAATAAAAAAATCCTACGGGAGAAGGACCATAAATGCAACAGAAAAACAGGCGGAACTATACAAGGCAGTTAGTTCCCTGACAGAAGCCAGAAAAACACGCACTTCGGTGTGCAAGCACCTCCGCGGGGCTGGCTTCGGGCGCGGGGCGGCGGGTGGGGGCACCTCTGCTCCGTCCCCGCAGCCTCCCCGTCCCCGTCCCCGCAGCCTCCCCGTCCCCGTCCCCGCAGCCTCCCGGCGGCGCACCTTGCTCAGGTCGGCGGCGATGGCCGCCAGGATGTCGCGCTCGCGCTCCTGCACCAGCCTGCGCAGCGCCTCGAGCTGCTGCCGCCGGAAGCTCAGGGGGCGCGAGCGGCCGCTGCGGAAAGCGTCCCGCACCCGCTGCACCAGGCGCTCCATGGCCGCCTGCTCTGAGGAGAGGGAGGTCGGGCGCTGTGCGGACCAGGCAGCCGGACTCCGGGCCGCACCTCACTCACCGCCCGATGGGCCTCCGCGGCCCCGCCCCCACCCCGCCCCTCTGCCTGCCGCGCGCCTATTGGTCGGGCGGGGCGCGTGACCCCTCCGGAGGCCCCGCCCACCGCCCTCCGCCCACGCCGGGAGCTGACCGCGGGCGGTGCGGGCCGGGGTGCGGCCTCCCGGCCCGACGGGGGCGGGGCATCCGTGGGCCGCCCTGGTGCCGGGGGAGGGGAGGGCCGGAGGGGAAACGGGGCGGGGGCGCTGGCGCTGCCGTCGGCGGAGAGTGGGTGCACCGCCCGCGGGCCGATCCCGCCCTCCCAGCTGGTGCCGGGCTGCGTGCGGACGGCCGCGGCGGGCGGAGGGAGAGGTCGCCCAGCCCACGCCACCCCCCGCCCCTCCCCATCTTCCCTTCTCAGTTGCCCAATCCCCGGGGCAGCCTCGGCCCTCGCGGGCCCGGGCCCAGGCCGCGGCCTCGGGAGACACGGCCTTGTTCCGCCGCCGCCACCGCCGCCGCCGCCGCCCCTGCGATGCGGTAGAGAAGGCTGCGGGCCCTGGAGCCGCACCCTCCTCCGGACCCGGGGCGCCCCCTGCCCCGCACCGTCTGTCTAAACCCACAACAGGCACCTCAGCTCCCGCCGGCCCGCCTTCCCCTTTACCCCGGCCTCGGCCCCGGCCCCGGAGCCAGCCGTGACCGCCGCTCCGGGCCTGTCCGCGAACACATGGTGGGAACCAGCCGCCCCCGCCCGGGCCCACGTCCGCAGCATCCTCCGCGCCGGGCCGCCCCTGCCCGGCACTGGCACCTCCCGTTTCCCTTTCCACTCTGCACTCGGGGCCCTGCTGCCTCTCAGCTCCGCATCCGCCCTCCTGTGCGCCCGCAGGGCCCAGCCGAGCGGGTTAATCGCTGCCCGGGCTCTCGCGCCCCACGGCTGCCAGCGAAGGGGGCACCAGCGGGAAATGGGCGGGAAGTGGGGAGCTCCTCGTGCTCCTGGAGTCAGTGTGGCCCTTCTTAGAGAGGGAGGTGGGATGGCTCTGGACTGGCAGTGCCGGCACATCCAAGCAGTGGAGGTGGCGGTGACTGCATCTCCCAATGGCACGGGGCGGGCATCGGGCAGCTGCTGGTCCATACCCCCTGTCTTCCTGAGCCATGCATTGCTCTTAATCCCCCTCTGCCCCAGAGAACCAAAGTGATTATCTTCATGGCGGGGTCCTAGCTGGACCAGCTTGCTCTCAGTAATCCTCGGGAAGGTACCTTATCCATGTTCCTTCCCTGCTCACAGCTTTCCAATGGCTTCCTGTCTCACTTAGAGAGAAGGAAACCCCAAAGCACACCGCATGCTGTGAGCCTGGATGTCATGGCCCCAGCTCCCCTCCAGCGCATTTTGTGTTATTCTCTCGGCTGGAGTGGCTCCTTGCTGCATCCCCTGAGCTCAGGGCTTTTGCACTCGGCTCCTTTTTTTTTGCCTGAGGGCCCGCTACCTTTCTCAGTTCAATCTCTGCTCAAAGAAGCCTTCACGATCACCATGGCTAAAGCTGCGGCTTTAAACTCTACCTGTACCTGTTACTCGGTCCCTTTCCATATTTTAGTTTGTTTGTTTCTGTCTGTCATCCCCATTGAAACTCTTACAAGTCAGGGGCTTTTTCGTGTTCGCTGTAATATCAGTGTTTATCACAGAGCCTGGCTAGCAGTAGGTACTCGATAAATTATTGAAAGAATGGACAATAAACGATCAATATTCTGGCCTCGGTGTGTTGGCCCTCTCCACTGTTGTGGTTTTCTCAGCAGCCTGTGAAGTTAGAGGCTTAAAGGGATTCTTGATGAAGGAAGGAAGGTGGCATGAACATCAAACTCTTTATTTTTACTCTGTTCTTTTGGAAAAGAAAAAAAGAAAAAAAAAAAAGAAAAAAGGACAGTCAGATGGGGCTGCCATGGTTACATGGGAGACTGCGGTGAGCAATCTTCTCACATCGCCGGGAAGAGCTGTGGCCTCCAGCACACACTGAGGCGGTAACCAGCTCCACTCGGACTGCGGGGCGGCCTGGGCACAGCTGGCCATCTGGACCTGCGGAGACCATGTCAAATCAGCTCAAAGTTCACCGCACAGTTGTCCCAATTATCTCTCTAATCTGATCCCAGGACCTTTAACCCCAGCTAATAAACATTATGCAAAGGATTAGGTAACTTGAGATATGAATCATGCCACAATTGAAAAAAAATCTTTATTGATTTCAGAGAGGAAGGGAAAGGGAAAGAGAGAGACAGAAACATCAACGATGAGAGGGAATCATTGACGGCTGCCTCCTGCACGATCAGGGATCGAGCCTGCAACCCGGGCATGTGCCCTGACCGGGAATCCAACTGTGACCTCCTGGTTTATAGGTGACACTCAACTGCTGAGCCATCCCATGCCACAATTTTTTTTAAAAATTCAAATAATGAACAGAATTTCAATGTGAAAATAGAACAGAGATCAGTATCATCTAAGGTAGGGGTGTCGAACTCAATCAGAGAAGGGGCCAAAATCTAAAATCCAGCCTAAATCGCGGGCCGAATGGTTTACTGAACAGTCATAAACTGTCATTGTGATGGAAACGCAGCGGAGTGCAGTGATGACAGCGCTGTGCGGGCCACATTGCAAGGCCTGGTGGGACGGATTTGGCCCGCGGGCCTTGTGTTTGACACATGTGATCTAAGGCAAGTTAATCTCTGAGTAGCAAATAGCTACTTCTCTGCTAAGGAAAAGATGTGGGCATTTCTTTATTCTAATGACACAATCACCAAGAGTTTGACTCCTCACCAACTCTTGAACATTTTCTTTATAGTGGAAATCAATTGATGGCATTTTGTTGGGCATATTTTAAAAACACATCCAAATGCTTTAATAGAACAATGTGATATATTTATGTGACCAAAGAGAGGCCTGGAATTTTTATTTACCAAATTTCCAAGGTGACATTCTCCTGACTTTTTGAATCTGAAGGACTCACTGATCTAAGTAGCTGTGGGCCAAGGACAGCACCTCGGTGGGATGCAGGATGAGGGGCTAAATGCTCACAAGCAGCTTCTTTCAGGAAATGCGGACTGTGGTCATATTAGTGTGCCCCAGGCCTTTTCCTACTCCACCCTTTTTTTATGTTCTTAAGGAGCTTCTGTATGGTGGGTGATCCACTCCATCACCCCTCCCCTTCACAACCGTAGGGTTATCTTATGACCCACGTGTAGTCGGAGAATCAAGTCTTCCCAGCACAGCAATCGGCTCAGGAATGTGCAGGCAGCTGGAGCCTGTGTTCAGCCTCCTGGGACTTGGCTTTCCCCCGGGGCTCTCTCCCTCCGTGGGTGACATAATTATGGAGCTGCCCGCAGCACGCGGAAGGCAAGAGCTGATAAAGCTAATTCAGAGGAAGGAGCAGCCCAGGGGCAGTCCTGACAAGCCCAGGTGGCCCGTAAGGCTCAGAGCACGCCTGTGAGGCGCACCTCCACAGTCCCACGAGCCAATGCTTTCCCAGGCATTAGGGACCAAAACTTGAACGTTTGCCACGTGTTACCGAAAGAGACTTTTACCAGAGCGGCTTGTCCCATCGCACTGGTTGTGTGGCCAGGCCCTCAGGTAGCTCCCGGTGGGGTGAAGGTCTGAGGCAGTGGGTGTGGTCCTGGCAGAGGAGCAGACGTAATGGCAAACCATTCCCCTTCCGAGGAGAACACCTTGGGGCCAGAAGGAGATAGACATCCTGGCTTATGTCATAGCCAGAGCCCTTGTGGCTGAGAGAATGTGTCTGCTTCACCCTTGCTTTTAAGAAAGCTCTCCCTGATCACAACTGAGGAAATCCAGAGTCTAAACCTTGCGGACACCTTTTGAATGTTGCATTTTTACTGGACGTGAGACACATGCGAAGCAGCCCCAGCTGTAGCTGTGTGCCGTGGGTGACCCCCATCAGCCACTGGTGCACCTGCTGCCCGAACGTCGCCAGCGTCCTCCCGCTCCACCCACGCGCTGCCACAGGATCTGTGGGTGAGAGCAAAACTTCACCGGTCATCAGATAATTCATGTTCCTCACCCGTAATATGACAGTCTAGTAGCTTCACCGCTTCTCTAAGGCTTGATAATGTCACTTTAAAACCTAACCATTCTGGTGGGTGTGTAAGTGTGTAATGATGTCTCGTAATTTTTACTTGCATTTCCCTGGTGGTTAATGATAAGGTCACAGTTTCACATGTTTATGGCTGTTTACACATGTGTCCATGGCAGGGGATAACAGGACAGCAAACCTGCATCGCAGCCTCAGACAGCCTTGGCCGCCTGTCCTAACCCTTCCCACACCCTTCGCCAGCAGATGCCTGCCTGACGCAGCTGTTGTGTCCACAGTTCAGCAACAGAAGGAACAAACATAGGGCGCCTGCATAGATCCCACACATGCACACGGATACCTCAAAGAAAGAGGAGGTAAAAATCTTATACAAAAGAAGAACAATCCAGATGTGTGATTCTCACAATCTCTGGAGATTGAAACATAACCTTTGAGGACCAGAGAGAAAGCCCCCCAGATAATGTAAGAGATGAAAGAATCTCTACTAATAATAGCCTAGGGCCGTCACGACCAAATGGACGACCAGATGGACGACTGGTCACTAGGAAGTGCATGGAGCACCTCTGGGTCCTGCCCCTGCAGCCCACAGGCTCCTGTCACAGCAAGGCTGGCGGCCCAGTGGGCTGGGTGAGGCAGGCGCTGAGAGCAGGGCTGGTTGTCAGGCGCTGAGGCCCATAGACAGACAACAGGGCCTGACTATCAGGTGCCACGGTGCACAGACAGACAGCAGGGTCTGCCAGCCGCAGCGTGCCTGCTGGCCGTCCTGCCTCTCTGTGTGTGAGCTGCAGAGGAAACACCTTTTCTGACTGCTCATTGGCTAAGCTCCCGGTATGCCACTCACAGTGTTCTTGGTAACTTGGGTAATAAGAATCCAATCAGGTGATCTAGGGTTTTTCAACCTCACTCCTGGAGGAAAAAGTGCAGATCTGCT